AGTACATCGTGGAGTACTCGCTGGAATACGGCTTCCTGAGGCTGTCACAGGCCACGCGGCAGCGGCTGAGCATCCCCGTCATGGTGGTCACCCTGGGTGAGTGTCAGTCCTGGACCAAGTTCGGGCCCCTTTCTCCCGGATCTCAGGGTCTCCTCCTGGGAGAGGGACTGGGGGGGGGTAACCCCGAAGCCCCGAGGCCGAGGTGTCCAGGCCTGCCAGCACAGCCTGCTGGGGTGAGGCTGGGCAGGGGCTCCCCCACTCCCAGAAATGAAGGTCTGGCCTTCCTGGGGCCTCGGCCTGGCCGGGGCCCCGTCCCTGTCACGGTCCCGCCCACAGACCCCACGCGGGACCGGTGCTTCGGGGATCGCTTCAGCCGCCTGCTGCTGGCCGAGTTCCTGGGCTATGACGACATCCTCATGTCCAGTGTGAAGGGCCTGGCCGAGAACGAAGAGAACAAGGGTACGTGGGGGCCCAGGGATGGGGCCCAGGGCGCGGCCCGGGGCGCCTGCTCAGTGTCTCCTGCGCAGGCTTCCTGCGCAACGTGGTGTCCGGGGAGCACTACCGCTTCGTGAGCATGTGGATGGCCCGCACCTCGTATTTGGCCGCCTTCGTCATCATGGTCATCTTCGTGAGTGCTCCGGGGCGGGGCGGGGGCGGTTCCAAGGAGGGCACCAGCCCGGGGCCGGAGGATGTGAGGCAGGGCAGCCCCTCCCCCAGGCGTCACGCTGTCCCGCTTGCAGACCCTCAGCGTGTCCATGCTGCTGCGCTACTCCCACCACCAGATCTTCGTCTTCATTGGTGAGTGTCCCTGCTGGTCAGCCCCCTTCCCCCTCCCCCGCCGGGTGCCTCACCCGGTCTGCCCGCCCGCCGCCCTGTCCCGCAGTGGACCTGCTGCAGATGCTGGAGATGAACATGGCCATCGCCTTCCCCGCGGCTCCCCTGCTGACCGTCATCCTGGCCCTTGTGGGTGAGGACCCCACTCCCACACCTGATGCCCCGGCCCTGCCTGGCCTGTTGCCCACCCACCCCAACCAGCTTGCTGCCCGGCTCCTGCAGGGATGGAAGCCATCATGTCCGAGTTCTTCAACGACACCACCACGGCCTTCTACATCATCCTCATCGTGTGGCTGGCTGACCAGTATGACGCCATCTGCTGTCACACCAACACCAGCAAGCGGCACTGGCTTCGGTGGGCACCGGGGTCCCTGGGGTCCCTGGGGCCGGGGCGGGCTTGGCCAAGCGGCAGCACCTCACTGCCCCGCCTCACAGGTTCTTCTACCTGTACCACTTCGCTTTCTACGCCTACCACTACCGCTTCAACGGCCAGTACAGCAGCCTGGCCCTTGTCGCCTCCTGGCTCTTCGTCCAGGTGAGGCGGCTGTCCCTGCGACTGCCTGGCCCCGGGGCCCGGCCCACGGGGGATGCCACGGAGGAGGGGGTTCTGGCTCTGGGCTCTGGCCTGACCTGATGCCTCCCCCCGCAGCATTCCATGATCTACTTCTTCCACCACTATGAGCTGCCTGCCATCCTGCAGCAAATCCGCATCCAGGAGATGCTGCTGCAGGCCCCACCACTGGGCCCTGGCACCCCCACGGCGCTGCCGGATGACCTCAACAACAATGGAGGCGCCCCGGCCGCCACCCCCGACTCTGCCGGCCAGCCCCCTGCCCTGAGCCCTAGCTTGCAGGGTGCCGGCGGGGGCCCCGGGCCTGTGGCTGAGGCACCCAGCTCCTTGGTGGCCGCGGCGGCCTCGGTGGCTGCTGCAGCCAGTGGTGACCTGGGTTGGATGGCAGAGACGGCCGCCATCATCACAGATGCCTCCTTCCTCTCTGGCCTGAGCGCCTCCCTCCTGGACCGGCGGCCGGCAATCCCCCGGGCTGCCCAGGACAGTATCCCCCAGAGCGACTCCCCGGGGCCTGACACAACCCCTCGGGCTGCCGGGGTGAGTGGGCCTAGCCTTGCATCCATGGGCCTGGTGGATGCACCCTCGGAAGTCGGCTCCTGAGCCCTGGGCAGCTGACTGCCTCTCTCCCTGGCTGTGCAGGCCAGCCGGGCGTGACCTGGCTGGAGCCTCCCGGGATCAGGGGGGCTGTCCCTGGTGGTTCTGGGACTGCCCAGCCTGCCTTGGGTGGTGAGAGGGTCCACCAGGTTTGCTTGGAGGCGGGCTTCTCTCCCCCGGGCCGTGGGGCCTGTCTGCAGCCTGTCCCTGTTTACGGTGGGCTTCCTTCGCCAGCAAATCAAGACAGGCCAATGAGCCTGGTGGGAGAGGGGGCGGGGGCTTTGCAGAAGATTCTGGAAGGGGCTGGTGAAAGGTCGGGAGTGAGCTGTCCCAGGGGCAGAGCGGGTAGGTCTCTGAGCAAGGTGAACGTGGGTGGAGCTGGCTCAGCTGGTGCTCTGTCGTGCGCAGTGCCTTTCCACAGCCACCCTCACATGCCCAGGCTGGGGTCCCAGGAAGGTCCAGCTCACACCTCAGCCACAGGGACGGCCGGGAGCCAACATGGAAGGCAGCCACAGGTGTCGCCTCACCCTTCTCGGGGTAGTAGCTGGCAGGCAGCCCAACCCACTCGGTGAGGAATGCAGAAGAGCGCCCATTCCACTCTATTTAATTGCAGTGTACAAAATGGTGTTTGTATATAGAATAAACTGTCTGTTGACAGTGTCTAGGCCAGCGTCTGTGTGGTGGGGCTGCAGGGAGGGGGCCCACCTTCCAGTGGGGGGGGGCCCCTCGGAGCAGGTGGAGCCACTGGAACTGAGCTCCGGGTCCCTCCTCACCCTCACTGGGCAGCCCCAGTTGATTCTACACAGGCCTGGAGCGGGTGGCAGGGCTGCTCGCCGGCGCCGTCCCCAAGCTGGGCAAGGAGCTCTCCGTGCCGCACCAGTGCTTGGCGGAGCCGCTCGCGTGCGCCCTCGATGTGTCGCTCCAGCTCCTCCAGCTCCCCAGGATGCGGGCCTTCCGAGGGCAGCTCCGTGGGCACGCGGCCATTGGGGCAGAACCGGATGGGGTCCCCCGGCAGCCTGGCCTCACCCACGTCCACGTCTGGTGGGTCGGCAGCCACGGCTGGCTCCAGCAGGAAGCGCACGTGACGCTCCCTTGCCACAACCTGGTGCACCCGCGTCCAGCTTCCCGGGCCCGCGGGGGCAGCCAGCATGTCCCGCCGAGTCTCCTCAGGGTCCCTGGAGATGGGTGGGGCTGAGCAGCCGCATCCTACCCACGACCCTCCTCTGCCCTCCAGGCTTAGGGTGCCTGGGGAGGTCACGGGAGGTGTGGACCCAGTGGCTGGCTTGGGGGCAAGTGCCAGAGCTGGTGGGGTGGGGAGTGACCCCCCCAGGGATGCTTACCTTGGCTCGGGCTCTGGCTCCTGTTCCTTGGGTGGCTCAGCGTTGAGGGCGCGATGGATTCTCTAGGAGCCAAGACAGAGGATGCATCGAGGTCGGGTCCGCGGGAGGCTGCCGTGCCCACCCACCTGTGTGGTTGCTCTCTCACCTGGCTGGTGTGCAGCCAATACTGCAGCCTGTTGCCCCTGCGGATGCGGGGCAGCGCCAGGTGGTAGCAGACGTGCTCGCCTAGCGAGCTGAGCAGAGCACTGCCCAGGCCCAGGCAAAGCAGCACAAAGAGCCCTGAGAAGTGGTGGATGCCCATCTGGAGGGTCTACAGGCAGGACACAGCACACAACCCTTCATGGTCATGGCAGACACTTGGGGAGTCCTGGCCTGGGGTGGGGTGGAGGTCAGAGGTTGGGCCAGACAGAAGGACCTGGGGCTGTGGAGCTGCACTGGAAGGCTAGCGCTCCATGTTCAGGACTCGGGTTTCATGGAAGAGGGGCCGCGCACTGGAGCTGAGGTTTCATGGGACAGATAGGAGTCCACAAAAGCAGGCCAATATGCACGAGCAGGGGTTGGCCACCTCAATGGGGGAGCAGGCAGGCCCAGGAACCCCAATGCCTACCCACCCCGCCGCGTCCCAGGCCCTGCCCCACCTCTGTAACAGCGAGGATCCGCTTCCCACAAGGCACCATCTTGTACCACTTGTCATGCAGCAGGTCAATGAAGCCCGAGGACTTGTAGCGGCTGATGAACTCTGACAGGTTGGAGGTGAGTGGCGAATTCTGGGGGAGTCCAATGCCATAGCCTTGGGGAAATCGGGTGTTGGGTCGGGACCAAGCTAGACGCAGACCCAGAGGGGCTGTGCCCGCCTGAAGCCGGCAGTGGCTCCCCACTGCCCTAGGTTCACTGGTCCCAGGGGCCTCTCACCCTCGATGGCGAAAGGCTTGCCCACGGTCAGCAGCCTACAGTCGGCGTCGATGGACACCTCGTAATCCAGGAGCGCCTTGTCCATGATGAAGGCGTTGAGCCTGGGGGGGTCGCTCCTGCAGGGGCAGGGGCGGGGTGAGCGGGCCTGCGTCTCCCCGCCCCGCCTGGGTGGCCCACCCTGCGGCCGCCTCACTTGAGCATGGCGACGCCCTGCGGCGTGGTGGGCGCGCTGTGGCGCCGCATGTGCGCGTGCATCTCCGGGAAGCTCTTCTTGATGTAGGCCTCGGCGCTGCTCTCCCACACGGTGCCGAAGCGGAAGCCCTGGGCCAGGTGGTGCAGCTGCGGGCCAGTGCCGGGTCAGCGAGGGGCTGCCCCAACCGCTGCCCGGCACCCCCAGCCCAGCTCTCTCCCCCAGCCTGGACCGCCCAGGCTGATGGCTCTCAACCAGCCTCTCCCCTAGTCTGACTGAAGTGGACGGGGGGGCTGGGGGTCCCCTGGGCATGGCAGGGGGTGGAGCAGCACCCCTGGCTGCCCCCGCCCATGCCAAGAGCATCCCCAGTCATGACAAGCACAGATGTCCCCAGACCTGGCCCAGTGTCCCCTGGGGGCAGGACTGCCCAGTTGAAAACTGCTGTTGTAAAACCCCCACATCCATCTCCAGGCAGACCTGGCCCTGAATGCCACAACTCCCACTGCCCTGTCAGTGTCTCTCCTTAGGGTCCTCCAGGAAACCCAAGTTCACCACGTCCAAGACCCCTCCTGAATTGCCCCACACACACACACCTTCCCACCACAGTCAGGGCAGCTCGATTCTCCCTCCTCTGTTCCTCCCTGGCTCTCTCACCACCACCCGTCCATCTGCAGATCCTGTGGGCAATGCCTTCAGAACACCCTGAACCTGCCCACGGCTGGCACCTCTGCAGCCCTGACCCAGGCCCCCCCACCCCATCCCTCCTGGACCAGCAGTGTTCCCTCATCCCTGGTCTCTTGGGGCCACCCACTGATGGTGCAAACTCCTAACGCATAAGTGAGTGGCTGCTGAGGCCACACTGACCAGGGCCTCCTGATGGGGCTACAGCCCCTCCAAAAAGCCAGACCTAAGTCTGAAGCCTGTAGAGCAGGGCCGTCTAGAACATTCTGGGAAGGGAAACACTCTGCACCTGTGCTGTTCTCCAGCGACTGTTGACCGCTTACAATTAAATCAATTTAAAAAGAAGCACACGTGGCGAGTGACCAGCACTTCGGACAGCAAGCATCTAGGTTTTATTACTGGTTTAGAGAGGACACTGGTGGGGCGGGGGCAGCAGAAGAGGCTAAAGTCCATTTGGGGATGTGATCGGCTAGATGCAAACACTGGGAGATGCTGCGGGAAACACAACAAGACTATTTGTCCAACAAACAAATCTCTAGTGTGAAAAAAAGATGGACAAGGAACCTAGAGTCGAGTGTCAAGATGTACGTTCCTGGGACAGACACTCCGTGTACTCCACCTGCCTCTTGTTTATAGAAACGTTTCCTCCTAGTCCCTACCCAGTTTCCAGAGCATGACTCTAATCAGAGACATGAGGAAAACAGTCAAACGGGACAAAATAATAATGGTTTAGCCATCTAACAAAGTCAAAGACCTTTAGTTCCTCCCTGAGGGCGAGACGGAATATTCTGAGCCACGTCCTTTGAGCTGTTTTGCAGAGGCTGAAACCACCACCAGGTGGAAGAAGTAAACTGCATGCTGCCCCCCAGCACGTGGACCCCAAAACAATTGGAACCAGGGTGACGACGTTGACGCCTAATGACTTCACCACCAACCAATCCATGAGCTGATCACATGCCTCGCAAACCCCCTCCATCATCCTGTCTTTAAAAACCTTTCCCTGAAGCTCGCCTGGGACTTCAGATCTTTCAAGCACTAGCTTCCTGGACTCCTCGCTGGGTACCTACAATAAACGCTGCACTTTCCTTGACCACAACCCAGGGTCAGTAGACTGGCTTTACTGTGCGCGGGTGAGCGGACCTGCGTTTGGTTCAGTTACAAAGAGGTTTCTACCGTCTGCCATGTCTGTGCATGTGTGATTGGGATCCTGATTCAAACAAACCATGGTGGGAAAAAAGACAGCTGAGAAAGTGGGCCCCTGATGTTTAAGTTCCCAGAATATTCATGATGAAATGACAGGAGGCCTGGTGCGTGGATGAAACTAGCCAGGAATTGATTTTAGAACAAGGCAATGGGTTGATGCATGGTGGTCCTTGCTCCCTACTCAAGAATATGACAAAGTTTTAATTAGAAGAATGCGTACGCTGGGGCATGCCCTGCTCTGCCCACAGCTGTCCAGGTCTCCTGGGGGAAGCTCCATCTCAGACAGAGCTGCTTTTGAGGCCTAGGTCCTCACACACCCACAGGCCCCGCACGGTCTGCTCTGTCCCCTCCCTACCCTCTCTTCCCTACTCTCCCTTCCTCCCTCTAGTTGCCCCAGCCACACAGGCCTCCTCAGTGTTCCTCCAACACACCAGGCACAGTCCTGCCTCAGGGCCTTTGCACAAGCTGCATCCTCTACCACATTCCTCCCTGATATCTCCATGAAAGTCACCCTGCCCTGAGGAATTCCTGATCCCCATTTGAGAAATTGTCCGTCCCCACTACTCCCTTTGTCCCCACCTGGCCTTATTTTCCTCCCTGGAACTTGATCACCATCTCGCACACCGCCCATTTTGCTTCTCTCTCTCAGTTCTTGTTAGCAATCCCACCTGTTTTGTCCCGGCTGGGTCCCCAGCTCCTGGCACACACAATACGTGTTCGCAGGAGTGGATGCCTGCACTTGACTGGGTTTTGGGTGGGGACTGGGGTGAGTGGGTGGGTGACCTCCTGGCTCTGAGCCCTGAGCCCCCGCAGCTGCCCACCTTGGGGTCGTGGATGCCGGACAGCTCCTCGAACGTCTTGTCCCCGACTATGACGGCAGCCAGGTTGGCGGTGTAGCTGGACAGCACAAGCAGACAGAAGATGGCCCACAGGTTCATGAGGAGGCGGCCCGTGGGGCACTTGGGAGTCTTGCTGAATGCCGTGCGTCCAAAAAGGATGGCGTAGCAGAGGCTGAGGGCGGAGGAGTAGGAGAACACGGTGCCCCGGTTCCGGCCTCGGGGTGTGAGGCCGTAGGGGCTGCGCCACTCATAGAGAGTGAGGAAGAGCGCGGTGAGGTGCAGGGCAGCGAAGACGCCCAGCCACATGGACCAGTGCAGCGGCCACATGAAGGCGCCAATGGGCGCGGCCGTGTCCCGCGCGCGCACCATGATGCCCAGGCTGGTGGAGAAGAAGGGGCTGCTGAAGTCCACCACCTGCGAGCGCGCCGAGTTGATGCTGAAGCTGGTGACCGCCATGTGGGCCCGGCCAGCCAGCAGGTCGCCCACCAGGCCGGTCCAGCGGCCGTCCCGCAGCGCCCCGTACTTGCCATCGCCCACGATGTACAGCTGGAAGTCGAAGGGCGTGTCCTCCGCCAGGCGCTCCAGCAGGTCAATGCAGTAGCCATAGCAGCACCTGCGCAGGGCGCGGGGCACCGAGCCATTGGCCAGCGCGGCGAACAGCGCATCCAGGGCGGCCGAGTCGTTGG